TCATCCTGGGTCATGCGACGTGGCTGATGTTGCTGCAGCGTCCTAACTTTTCGATCTGCAACGCGGTCTACGCTTTCGTGAAGAAGCATAAGCAGGAGGTGGCCCCGCTCTGGGACTCGGTCGTCGAGGAGCTCAAGCTCGTTCGGGATCTGCTCCCGCTGTTAGTGGCCCGCACCGACGCCAAGTCGCTGCCGACCGTGACCGCCAGTGACGCCCCCCCTTGGGGCTGTGGTGTTTGCGTGCGCCAAGCGGGCCCGGAGCTGGTCGCTCGCTGGGGCCGCGCAGCGGAGAAGTGGCGCTACAAGCAGGGTGCCGCTGCCGCTCGGAGCCACGCGTTCGCCGCCGACGTCGCGGAGACCGCTTGCGCGGACGACCTGCCTGACAGCTTGCGGCAGGCCGAGGAGTTCAAGAAGTCGTGCGACATGATCGAGGCGAGCTTCACAGATGCAGGGGCCTGGCATATCGTGGAGTCCTTTCCGTGGCGGGGCCCAGCGAACATCTTACGTCTGGAGGGACTCGCGCTCTCGAGTGCTCTGCGTCACACCCTTCGGCATCGTCGAGCTTTTGGGCGTCGTGTTCTCGCCCTCGTTGACAACGTGGGGCTTGCGCTGGCAGTCGGAACGGGCCGCTCGGCGGCTTTTCAGCTTCGGGATGTCCTGCGAGAGCTGGCCGCGTTGACCCTGGGACGCCGTTTTCACATGCATGTGCGCTGGGTCCCGTCCGAAAGGAATCCAGCGGACAATCCATCCTGAGGTCTGTCGTGCATCAAGCGTCAGCAGGAGCAGGACTTCACCATCCAGGCGGGCAACAAGGTTCGTGATAGCGAGCCTGCTAAGCCTCTTCCAGCCGTCCCGAGGTTCCCAGCTTTCAGCCCGATCGGCCTCTTGCCAGATGCGCTCCCTGGTGGCGACCCAGGGGTGCTGGCTGGCGGGGCTGGCCGTGCCGTCAGCGGCTGCAGCAGCAGCGCGGCGAACGCAGTGCCGCCGATCATCGCTGCCATCGGGGCGCCTCCAGGACTCGTCCCACATGACGTGCCTCGAGAGCCGTTCAGTGGCATTTGCTACACGCAAAGATTACTTCAAGCAGATGAGGTCGTTTCTCGAGTGGGCCCTGGAGTCGGGCCTCGACTGGAACAATGTGCAACAATTGGACAACGCGCTGGTCCTCTACCTGGACAAGCTGTTCTACCTCAGCAAGGCAGGCGATGTGGCCAGCAAGACCTTAGCGGCGGTGAACTTCAACTACCCGGAGGTTGGCCGCTACGTGGACCAGAGTCTGCCTCGCTCGGCCCGGGCGCTTGTAGGATGGGCGAAGGTCGTCTTGCGCAAGACGCAGTTGCCGACGCCCCGCGCGCTGATGCTGGCCATCGTGGGTCACCTGTTGCCGCGCCGCCTTGTCGAGCAGGCGGTGGCCACCTTGCTGTCCCTTAGCGCGTGCCTGCAGCCGGGCGAGTGCGACTTCTCGACGGCGGTCCAGCCGGTGCCGCCTGTGGCTGCAAGGGGGCCCCAGACTCGTTGTTGGGGCCTCCTCTCGGGCCCGGCGGAGCTCGAGAAGCTCGCCAAGGTTGGCGCCTGGGACGAGAGCGCGGTGCTGGACGACTTGGACTTTCTCGACCCCTGCTTGAGGAGGCTGAAGGTGGGATGCCGCTCCCTGGAGCAGCGGATCTGGACCTTCGAGCCAGGCAACCCCATAGTCAGGATCCAGGATGCCGTCGAGGCGCTGGGCGAGGCGGCGACGGGCATCACCGCCTACGGCCTGCGGCGCGGCAGCGCGTGGCGCGACCTGCTCTCGAAGCGGCGGATCCCGCTGGAGGTCAAGGCCCGTGGCCGCTGGCGCAGCGACGCCATGATGAAGAGGTGCGGCAAAGAGGCTCGCGCTCTTGCCGAGCTTCACAAGGTGCCGCAGGTGGTGCTGGACATCGGCAGTGCAGGGATGCACGACCTGCCAGGCATCGTGCTGGGCGGCGCGGCGCTGCCACCGGCGCCCCTCCTGGCGCGGCTCCGCTGACCGACGCTGAGATTAGGCTTCGCCTTCGCCGCAGTTTGCGGCGCACTTTAGGTTCAGCAATAAGTCATCCCAGTCAAGTTTTCCTGGAACTTTATGCGGGAAAAGGCAGGCTGTCCAAGGCCATGGGGGCCCAGGGTTGCGCCTCGGTTTCTGTCGACATTTTGAAACAGCCTTGGTTTGATTTGAACCGCCGCTTTGTCCAAGCGACGCTTCTCGGGAGGATCACTAGTAATGTGGTTTCAGTTGTCTGGATGGGGGCCCCATTGCTGCACCTGGTCCCAAGCCCGCCACGGTCCACCGGGTTCCAGTTGGCGCCGTTTACGTAGTGCCGATCACATTTGGGGCCTCCCGAGTCTGGATTCCAGGGCCTCCGAAGCGTGCAAGAGGGGTAACGAGCGGTTGCGTTTTTGTCTTCGGGTTGTTCGGAGCTGCCTCCGCGTCGGCACTCCCGTGGCGCTGGAGAACCCAGGATCCAGCTGGATATGGAAGGCCCCCCCGCTCGAGCGCCTGGCCCGTCGACCGACTAGCCAGGCCTGCGCTGTGGACTATTGTGGTTTCGGGGCGCGGTGGCGCAAAAGGACCAGAGTGCAAGTTTGGGGCCCGAGCTTTTGCATCCAGTTGCCTACTCCCTGTTATGGCCGAGGCGGGATCTGCAGTCACACGTCCAAGCCCCGCATTGTCTTGACGGGGGTTGATCAGAGCTCGGGCAAACTTTGGACCCGCGTCGCTGAGCCTTACCCCCTCGTTTTTGTTTTTGCTTCGCCCGAGCTCTGAAGCGCAGTGTCGATTCAAATCGTTTAGTGCGATTGCGTCAGATTATGTCTTAAGGCGGCAAGTGCCAGAAGCCCGATTGGGGTGGCTAGGGGTCTTCTCTCTCTCCTCCTCGTTCGTGTGTGTTGTGTTGTGGTGGTGCTGTGGTGTGTGTGTGTGTGTGTGTGTGTGCCTCTCGCTCGTCCCTCCTCCTTCGTTCGTCTCTGACCGAGCTCTGCCCAGGTGCTGCCCTGTCGGGTTGGATCTGCCTGGCCCGAGACACACAACATGTCTCTTGGCCAGGGATTGCGTCACGATGGGTTGTTCTTGAACAGTAGTCGTAGAGCGTTTGAGGGCCGCGCGGTTGCCTGCAACCGCCACTGCTCAAGCCTTTTCTGTGCCCGCCCGCTGCCTCCCTATGTTGGGGTCTTCTCTCTCTCCTCCTCGTTCGTGTGTGTTGTGTTGTGGTGGTGCTGTGGTGTGTGTGTGTGTGCTTCTCGCTCGTCCCTCCTCCTTCGTTCGTCTCTGACCGAGCTCTGCCCAGGTGCTGCCCTGTCGGGTTGGATTTGCCTGGCCCGAGACACGCAACATGTCTCCTGGCCAGGGATAGCGTCACGATGATGATGATGATGATGATTCTGATGATGAGGATGATGATGATGATGATGATGATGTTGATGATGATGATGATGATGATGATGCTGATGATGATGATGATGATGATGATGATGATTATGATGATGATGATGATGATGATGATGATGATGATGATGATGATGATGATGATGATGATGATGATGATGATGATGATGATGATGATGATGATGATGATGATGATGATGATGATGATGGTGGTATGGTGATGATGATGATGATGGTGATGGTGATGTGACGGTGATGGTGATGGTGATGGAGATGGTGATGATCCCCGCCCCCGCTCCCCACCTCCAATCCTCTCTCTTGTCCCCCTCCCCTTCTCTCCTGTTCCCCCCCCTCTCTCCTTTCCCTCCCCCCCCCCCTCCCTCTTTCTCTCCCCCCCCCCTCCCTCTCCTGTTCCCCTCTCCTCCCCCCCCTCCCTCTCCCCCCCCCCCCCCTCTCTCCTTGCCCCCCCCCCTCTCTCCTGCGTTCCCCCCCCCCCCCCCTCTCTATCCTGTCCTCCCCCCCCCCCCCCCGTCCCCCCGTCTCTCCTTTCCCCCTCCCCCCCCGCCCCCTCTTTCCTGTCCCCCCCCTCCTCTCTCCTGTCCCCCCCCCCGTCTCCCCGCCCCCCCTCTCTCCTTTCTCCCCCCCTCTCTCCTGTCCCCTCCCCCCTCTTTCCTGCCGCCCCCCCCCTCTCTCCTCCCCCCCCCCTCACGTGTCAATTCTTTCGTCGTTGGCCCCCCCCCCTTGCAGAGCGAAGCTTGAGCGAGCGCCCCCCCCCTCTCTCCTTTCCCCCCCCCTCGCGTGTTTTTTTTTCGTCGTTTGCGTCCCCCCCCCGATCCCCCCCCTCCAGAGCGAAGATTGAGCGAGCTCAAGCCCACGCTCTCAGAAACTCACACGCCGGATGGGCGGATATGCGGTTCTTCGCCCGCTATTGGGCGCAGGCTAGTGTCTCCTCTTATCTTACATTCGGCGAACATCAGCAGCGGGCCGCGGGGCTGTTGCGTCCTTCTTGGGAAACAGAGTGAGACTTCCGACTTGGGAGCTGTGGCCTACAAATTAAGCCAGTACGTTAGGTTTGTGTTCATGGAAGCCTTGAGCTTATCCGACAGTTTTTCTGTTTGCCGTTTAATGGCCACCAGCTGAGATTGGGGGGTGACTGGTGGACGGATGGCGCGGGGCGTGTGACGCTATCTTCAGCTAATCGGTTGCCGCTATCTGCTGTTACTTGACAGTGGTAGGCTTCCATAGTTTTCCGGACGGAGGACACAGCCATATGCAGTTGTGGGTACCGCGTTGTGGGTTTCGCTTTTGATGGAGACCCTTGTGGGGCCACGAGGCGTGTGAGGTGTGTCCCGAATTGGGTCCAGTGGCGCCATGCGAACGCAGCTACTGGGGCCTTTGGTGGAGCTCCCCATGTGACCACAAACGGGTGTGGCGGTGCCATGCAGGGAGGGGAGGAGGGGGAGAAGACAGGCGGAGGGGAAGCAGGACTCAACACCACAGGATGGTTGGGACAAACTAGCGTGAAGTACGGGCGCTGCTGGAAAAAGAAGCCCACAGAGAGAAGCCAGCCTCCCTCCCCCGCCCCCTCCTGCGCGGTGCAGGTTCCGCTGAACAGCGTCCGCACCTGCCGGGTCGCAGCGCTAGTGGGGGGTGCGCTTCATTCTCCCTCTTCCTCTCCTCCTCCCTCTCTCTTTCTTGTTCTCTCTGGGCCTCCCAGAGAAGGTCCGAGCAGATGGGGTAAGAGACTCGCGCTGCATCGCCGATTCATCGCCGATGCGGCTCGATGTGGAGCCCGGTCTTCTCCACGCCAGCATCGCCGATGCAGCGACGATGCATCGGCGATGTATGGGCGATGTTTCGGCGATACATCCGCGGTGCAGTTGGATCCTCCGACCCCGTTCTTTCGGACTCCATCTAGGAGGTCTCTACTGTCCCCCAAGACCCACGCGCATGGTGAAAACATCACCATCACGATGTGAGTTTTTCGCTATTTGCAGTCTCCGGGGGCCCTCGCCAAGCCCTGGGAGAGTCGTCGCTCGCGTGGCTTGGCGAGGCCCCCCAGGGGCCGAAGACGGCAGCAACTTTTCCCGTCGTGACGTTTTCACGACGCGACGGGTTCTGGGCTCTTCTCTTCCTCTCTGTCTCTCCCAGTCGGGGGCTCGCGGCGCAGGCCGCGGGGGGTTTTCGGCGCAGAGAATCGGAGAGGTGCGCGGAGAGAAAACTCGAGCTGTCTCCCTCTCTTCCTCCGTCTGCGCCCCACCTCCCCTCCCCCTCCTCCCTCTTCATTTTCACATCCCCGCCTCCCTCCTCCCTCCTCCCTTCTCCCTCCTCCTCAGGCCCTCGCCCTGCTTCTCCCCTCGCTCAAATAGGATGTTCAGCCGCCGTTTGGCTTCAGCGCCAGCGCGTGCAAACAGTACATTGATGAGTGAGAAGCCCGCAGTTCTACATTTTATTGCCGCCATGCTTTTTCGCGTTAGGCGTCCACTGCTCGCAATTTGTGTTGGTAGCGGAGCTGGGAACGATCACGGCTCGCGATCCACGGAACGCGCGCACAGTGCGATGTGGACGCACATTCGCACTTCCTTTCATTCCCGCGTTGGTACCACTTCCTAATCTTTGCGCAGCCTGTGTTTATAGCTGCTTTGCAAACCCACTGGTAATTCGCCCCATGTGCCCACAGGCTAGCAACACTGGCTCGAGTGTCTGTGAGGACTCGCTGGTGAAAACATTAGCAGCTGACGGCGCCGTGACGCTCGTGTTCGTCTCGGGGGGTTCCACGACACCCTATAACCTTCACAGCCCCTCAGCAACTGGCCGCATCTCCGCGTCGGGCATGACAGCGAGGCTCCTTCCTGGGCTGGTGCTGCGCCTCGTGATGTGTGCGACGGAGTTGGTCGTTGTCGCGAGCACGTCGCACCACCCGAATGGAACACTGAATGTGAACGCGCCACTCTCACCACCCGTGGTTTCGACCAAGGTTGTCAGCACTACTACGGTTGCCCCCCAGCTTCGACATGGCGTTAGTCCCTGCGCAGGCCCGAGGAAGGCGCCTCCGCAATGATCATCATGGTGGGGTCGTGTCGACGAGGCTTTTTCCATGTTCGCGCTATGGGGCAGCATCCTCATGTTCTTCGAGATCGCCTGGGCTCGCTGGCGTGATACCTGGCGGAGCCGGCCCACAGGGCGGTGGAGGCGGTCGTGGTGGGATTACTTCCCGTCAGCCGCCTTCATGGTCACCTCAGCGCGAGTCAGTGTGTCAGTGTATCCATGTCGCCGCTGGGTACAGGACATGCTCGCGTGGAGCGTGCTCGCCACGGACATGGACAGTGCTCATAAGAGCGCTGCCGTCATCCTCGACATTGGCAGAGCCGCTCGCGAGCTCGCGCGCTCCATGAACTTCGCGGACATGACGGAGGGAGGCATGGTCAACGGCCAGCATCAAGATACTGTGACCTACCTCGCCGCGAGCCTCGCCACTCAGTTCGGTCCACTGGGCGAGGAGTCGCGCATCCAGGCAGGCCGCAAATTATTCGAGTTCTTTGGGCGCCGCAACGAGACCGCCGATGCGCTGTTCTCGCGGCTTCTTGCGCTGCTATTTCGAGCTACGCGCAGCGGTGGAGCTGCGATGTCGTGGGGGGGCTACATCTGGCTGCTCCTCCGATCGGTCTGCGTTGCAGCTAGCCAACCCCCGGCACTGCCCCAGCCCCTCGGCAATCGATATCCAGCCGCGGAGCCTGAGTTCAACGGTCTCGCGACGATGCCCATGCGCGTGGGCCACATCGTGGAGCATTCGCCAAACAACGTCGTCAGCGACTCTTCGTTCGCCGCCGTCGTTCGGAGGCTTTGTGTGCATGGCCAATGACAACAGTGGTGACGCGCCCGCCTGGGGCCCTTGGCACGCTCATGGCCTCGAGCCCTGGTCAGCCAGCGCCGCCGAGCTCTCCGGTGCCTGAGGCGCCATGGCGCGCGCCGCCAGCCCGTTGCAGTGCGCCGCGCCGCCGCGGGTGGCATGCCCATCCGCCGCATGGGCGCCCGCGGGCGGGGCCGACCCTGTCAGCGGCGCTTCCTCATATGCGAGTTCGGACGTAGGCAAAGAGGTCAGATATCAAGCTGCAGACTTCCAAGTTTTCAGCCCACCCCAGGTAGATGTTCGGTTATTTTCACTTCCCAGGCCAAGGTGAAATCCGTGGATTCCTGTCATATCGTCTCAAGGAGCTCCGCGCTGCTCCCAGGCAGGCTTTGCCGCCTGGCGAGGGGGTGTGGGGGGGCGGGCAGACGGCGGCGAACGCGCGGGTGGGGGGCTGGGGCTGGCGGTGGCGGAGCGGGCGGGCAGGCGAAAGGGGGCCAGGCGGAGACAGCAGGCGCGGAGCAGGAGGAAAGGCAAGGAGGCAAGGAAGAGGGGGAGACTGGGAAGCAGCCGCCAGCAGACAAGGCAGGGATCAGGACAGAGGGGGAAAGGAGGGGGGGGGGGCGAAGCCGAGGGGAGGGAGGGCAGCTGCGAGCAGACAGGCCAGGCCAGGGGCCAGGAGAGAGCCGCCCGCGACGAAGCTACGGGTCTTGCGGCGGCGACCTGGGCAGGGCCGCGTCGAGGGCAAAAGGAAGGATCCCGCGCTTTGGTCGCCCGCGGAGCGGAGGCTGGCGGATTCGCTCGCTGGCGGGGGGGCCAGCGGGCGAGCGCGTCGCTGCTCCTGCGCTGGCTGAGCCAAACGCTTTTGCTCCTTCTCCAGGCGCTCCTCCGCTGCGGCGCAGACCCAGCCACTAGCGCTCGCGCCGGCCAGCCGCCCCGCCTGCTCGGCCGCCGCCCGCGCCTGAGGGCAAGCGGCGGCGAAGGCCTCGAGGCTGGGCTCGCCCGGCTCACGGCGCACCTCCTGGGCGCTCCATCCAGGAGCCCGCGAAAGCAGGCAGACGTCGTTGCTCCAAGCTGTGCGGGCCCGCCCGCTGCTCCTCCTTCGGATCCTTCGGATATCGACTCTGAATCCTCCGGAAAGGATGTGGCCGTCGTCGCTTCTCCTCCTCCTCCTCCTCCTCCTCCTCCTCCTCCTCCTCCTCCTCATATATACATATTATAGCGGCGCGCCAGGGCCAGCGGCCCGGGGCCGGCCCCTCGACCACAGATGTGGGTGTGCAGGCCCTTGGGGGGGCTTCAAGGCCTGCAAGATACCACGAGAAGGCGCCAAGAGAACCCGAAGACACCCCAAGATGGACCCGAGACGCCCAAAGGCCGCTCCAAGACGCCCACGATGGTTCCGAGACGGCCTCAAAAGCTTCCCAAACGGCCCCGGAGACCCCCAAGAGGCTCCCAGGAGGGCCCAAAGAGGATCCCAAGAGACAACATTCATTGATTTTTCAATTGTTTTTCTCAGGTTTTTGGGGTTCCCGCCTTTTAGGCTTCCCGACGCTCCCGAAGCCGGCCCAGGAGGCCCCCAAGACGGCCTCAGGGAGGCCCAAGAGGGCCTCGCTCGACATCATGTTCCCCGAAGCCTCTCCGGGAACATGACTTCCGGGCTCCCCGGACGCCCAAGACGCCCACAAGACAGCCTCAGCGAGGCCCCAGAGGGCCCGAGATGGCTTGAAGATGGCCGAAGAGGGCCCCAAGAGGGCCTTCAAGATTGAGACTTCCCCGCCCTGTCTGTTGGGGTTACCTCAGTTGGTGGGGTTTGATGGCCTCAAGGTTGTCTTTTCGGAGTTGGTAGTTTGATGGTTTGCAGCGCTGTACGTATGTCTCTTTAGAGTTGGGGGTCCGATGGGTAGGCAAACGCCCCCAACAAATGTTGATCATCGTTTTCGGGGGGCTAACATACCACCGAACACATGCAACGCAAATTAAACCAGTTCTCAGGAACGACACGCTCAGCTGTGTGTGTGTGTGTGTGTCCTTCTCGTGCGTGCGAAGCTGTTGGGCCCCATCTTTGGAACTCCCTTGGGGTCCACAGTGGTTCCTTGTCCCCCTATCGGGCCCCTGCCCCTCAAGGCGCCTCCCCTTGGGCCCCCTCTTGTGGTCTCTCCCTTAGGGTTCCAGCTTGGAGCCTAAGAGTAAGTAGGGAAGTAGGGCATTACGCGACGGCCTACGCCGTGGTGCAAGCTATGCGGTGCAACCTTTAGGACCTGAGTAGGTGAACAGCTGGTACGATGCAGCCAACATGTGTGCGAACATCAACGGAACAACACAAGAGAGTAACACAACATCAACAGAGTAACACCAGTAAATTTCCACCGTAACCATTTTTTTCAAACCATCGGCTTGTGCACTGGTTGCATGTCATGGCGTCCCCTTCGCCTGAACAGTGGCTGAGCGACGAGGCGTTCAGCCCGCTCAGCCTGCCGACGCCTGTGCTGGAGCCGCCGCCCGCGGAGGCGGGCGAGGAGGCCGCCAGCTGCAGCCAGGAGGACTGGCTAGAGGCGGCAGACGAGCCGCCTCCTGGGCCCGCGGACGGCGAGGGCCAGCTGGTGGCAGTGGAGGCGCAGCCCGTCGCGTCGCTGGGGCCGCAGGGCGCGATCGCGCCGCTGCCGCTGGAGGATGGCGCCGCGGATGGCGCCGAGAGGGGTTCCAGCGCCAAGCTGGCGTTCGCGATGGTTCGGCGGGTGTACCCCGACACCATGCAGCTTGTTGGCCTGGAGGGCGCCGCGCGCTTGGCGTCTCGGCTCGGCGTCCTGGCGAATCGCTTTCGCGAGAAGGTGTACGCCGTGGGGCACGCCGCCTGGGCGACTGGCCAGAGGCAGGCTGCTGCCCTCGTGCCGAAGGTTCTGGCCGCCTGCAGGGCATCCCACGATTCACGTGGTGAGGGCCTTCGGATGGATGCTGTCATTTTCTTCCGCAAGAGGAAGTACGACGGCACTCGCATGCGAGTGACCACCCAGGCCACGCAGCATTATGACACTGACATGATCGTAGAGCGCTGCACTGGCACGCGGGAGTTGTTCGTTGTCAAAACTGGTTTCAGCATGGTGCTTCGCAAGCGCTTTCATGACAGAGACGATTCCCTTCATGTCCTTGCGAGTACACCCGCTCACATCAGTGTCTTCGAGACGCCGAGCGCTGAAATCATCAAAGTTTGCTTGCGTAAGCAACTTGACCAGGTGTATGACACCCTCGTTGATCAGCGAATTCCTCGGCCGATTGATGTCATAGGGTGCGACGCTGCAAGCAACAACCTCAAGAACGAGCGGCCCGTGTTAATGCGGCACCCCCTTCGTGCTCAGACTGTCGCGGGTGGGTCGCGGGGCGGGGTGCGGGTGGGACGACGACAACAACAAACAACAAACAACAAACAACAACAATAATCAGCATCGCGGGATTTCACTTCAGCCGCGCACCCAGGAACAGTGAATGACCGTTGTGTTCAGCCCCGTCACTCGGATACATATATATTTATATATAGATGTATTCACATATATAGGTATATGTATATACACATGTATACGCATGTATATATATATATATATATATATGTGTATATATACATATGTATATGTATATGTAAATGTATATTTAGATGTATATGTATACGTATCTGTATATGCATATGTGTATTTATATGTATATGTATATGCGCAGGTATATGTATTTATTTATGCATATGCATATGCATGTCCGTGTACATATGCTTATGCATATATATGTATATATATGTATTTGTATACGTATATGCATATGTATATGTATATGTTGATGTATATGTATATGTAGATGTAAATGTATATGTATATGTATACGCATATGCTTATGTATGTGTATACGTATATGTATATATATGTATATGTATATGTATATGTATATGTATATGTATATGCATATATATATATATATATATATATATATATGCATATGTATATGTATATGTGAATGTATATGTATATGTGTACGTGAATGTATATGTGTGTATATGTATATGTATATGCACATGTATACGTATATGTAAATGTATATGTGTATGTATATGTATATGTATATGTATGTGTACTTGTATATGTATATGTATATGTATATGTATATGTATATGTATATGTATATGTATATGTATATGTATATGTATGTGTATGTGTATGTGTATATGTATATGGATATGTATATGTATATGTATTTGTGTATGTATATGTATATGTTTATGTACATGTTTTGTATATGTGTATGTATATGTGTATGTGTATGCATATGTATACGTATATGTATATGTATATGTATATGTCTATGTATATGCATACGTATATGAATATGCATATGTATTTGTTTATGTATATGTATATGTAAACGTATATATATACACATATATGTATACAAATTTATGTATGTGTATATGTATGTGGTTGATTTTAGATCAGTAAACACAGGAGGGTCTGGCCGCAAGGATGCCGCATGTGAGAATTCGCAGTCCCGCGTGCTATCCGTGGCAGGCGGCTCAAGCTCTTGAGGGGGTGGTCGGTCCCAGAGCCCCGCGCGCGCATGCAGGCGCTGGCCGAGGCCTTGGCGGCTGAGGTAGCGCGGGCGGCGCAGACTGCGGCCGTGGTCTGGGGGCTGTCGCGGCCGCCGCCGCCCTGCCCCGACTGCTACTGCTCGCCCCAGCTGGTGTGCGGCCCCATCCTCGTGAGTCCTCCTGGGGCCCAGCCGGTCATCAGCATTCTAACCCCGGACAGTGATCAATACGAGGAGGATCTGTCAGCAGGAGGCGACATCCAGGAGTTCGCGATCTTGGAGGGCGGGGCGCTCGGCCGAGATGCTGGGCCCATCGGAGCTGATCATGCGCGCAGGTTTCGGAATGTGCCGCTGCCTGCGGCGATGCAGGGACTTCGAGATGCTGTTGCCGTTGCGCCCAGGCTTCGCGGTGAACGTAGTCGGCCGTGCAGGTTTCGGTGGAACGCCGATGCCCGCTGCCGGAGCTGTCGGGGCCGTCGGAGGCGGTGCTGCCGGAGGTGTGGCTGGCCTAGCGGCGGCCCTGGCCGTGCCCGCGCTCGCAGCGCCCGGAGTTGCGCTTGCGGCAGGCGATGGAGCAGGTGGCGCGGCCGACGGCCTAGCACCGGGTGGAGGGCTCGTCCCCATGGCCGCGCTGGCCGCTGGGGGAGCCGCCGTTGTGGGGCCGGGGGGGGGGGGGCCTGTTGCCTCCTGCCGTGGCGCCACCTGCGCCAGCTGCAGCCATGGCTCCAGGCCTGGCCCCCGCGGGCGCCGCGGGCCCTGTGGCTCCCGCGGGTGCCCCCGCGATGGCGGCTCCAGCTCTGGCCCTGGCGCCAGCTGCAGCCGCCGCGGCCCCGCTCCCCGGTGCTGCGCTGCTCCCGCGGCGCCTCGGGGTATCAGCGATGTGCGCGTGCAGCCCGTGTCCCTCGACACTCAGGGCAACCGTCGCCGTTCCTTCCGCGACGCCATCTTGATGACGCGGGAGGACGCGTGGCCCGACTGGCCAATTCGAGGCCCACGGACCGTCTTATGGGTGCTGAAGTTCATGGAACAGAATGGAGGAAGCCCCATGGGCCGTCATATGCGATGTCGGACCGAGGCCAAGTTGTCGTCATCCGACGTGGGGGTCGACGAACACGAGAGAGCTTGTCGGATGTTGGAGCAGATGATATTCTACGATCAGCTCATGGTCACCAACCTGGCGAGTGCCGAATCGCTGTGCCGTGTGATTCCAGTGCAGGAAGAACGATACCGTGATAGGCTGGCTGGGGGGTCGGACAGTGTGGCCGACAACCACCTGTACATGGGGACGGACATGATCCGAGGATGTGTGTGCGTGAGCCCCCAGCTGGCCGATTTCGTGAAGGATCAACTCTGGAAGGAGTACCAGATCGCCAAGGAGCGCCGCAAGGCGCGTGAGGAGCGGGCCCTAGCCAAGAAAGGCGCCAAGAAAGGCGGCAAGGATGGCTCAGGGCCCGGCGATGGGACGTGATCTACCCCCGAGCCCGGGAGTTGGGGGCCCGGGCTCGAGCGACTTTTTGAATCCCCGTTCTGTTGGCGATTATCGGCAGAGAGATGTTTTCCCGCTTCCTCTCCTCGGCCCCCGCTCCGATGCTCCAGCGAGTGTCTGCAGGGCCGTGCGCCGTCGCCGCCTTCGCCTCAAGCATTCAGTCAGTTGGGCTAACGATGCTGTGAAGGGCCTCAAGCAGATGTCAGGATATAAGGAGGCTGCGCCAGCCCCCGCTTCTGTTGCTCAGAAAAGAGTGCTCGATCGCTTCAGTGATTGTTATTGTCGTCTGGGCCCCCCTCCCAGCGAGGCGGGATTTGCTCAGGGAGCCCTCAGCGAGCTCCTGAGCAACCATTCGTTGTATGGGGATGCGGGCCCCGCCCGTCCCTATTCGCGTGACCTCGTTGCGTGGCCCGATGAGGGCACGGTCCCTGTTGACCTTCATCGCTTGCTCTCACAGGCCGACTCTTCTTGGCTTGAGGATTGGAGATCGCACATGCTGAGGCCAGCATCTGAGGCCCAGGTTTCGGTGCAGGAGGCCTGTCCCAAGGGAGCCTATATCGACCCTGTTCTCGCTCGCTCTCCCTTTACTTACGCTGACTTTCTGGCCTGTCTGGCCCGGCGTGGGATGTTGAGCTTTCAACCTGCGCGGGGTGGGAAGGGCCTTCTTGGAGTGTTCTGCGCGGCCAAGAAGGCCGATCAACTACGTCTCGTTTTCGACACTAGAGTTGCCACTTGTTATTTCAACGCCCCCCCCTCTACTCGACTCCCTTCGGCTTCCGCTTTCTCTGCCATCGAATCGAGAGGCGGCCCTTGTAGTGCTGCCTAGGGTGATGTTCAGTGTGCCTTCTATCGCATGCGTGTTCCAGCCGACGTGATATAATGGTTCTCTTTGCCACCCATCGATTCGGGTTTACTCATGTCCTTTGGTCTGGGGGGTGTTCCTCAGATGGCGGGACAGGCCCTCCTTCCGTGCGTAACTGTGATGCCTATGGGCTTCTCCTGGGCTCTTCATTTTTGTCATTTGATGCGAAGCGCTATCCAAGAGGCGGGCTTCAGCCCGAGTCGCGTCATAGCTGACGGTGAGCCCGGCGTCGTGTTTAGGACAGCCGATGACGCGGCTGCTGCGGGCTATTTAGATAACTTTCTCGTGCTAGGCCAGTCTCAGAAAAATGTGAAGACTGCTTTTGACCAGATTAGCGTTCGGCTCAGACCTGTTGGTCTCCTCGTTCATGAAGTCTGTGAGCCGTCTAGGGGTTCGACCTCTCTCGGACTCCCCCTCGTCGCCGGCCGCTGGTTGTCTGTGAAGCCTCGGAATCTCTGGCGCCTGCGCTTCGCCATTGAGCGCCTTTTGGCCAGGGGTTCTGCCAGCGGTGTTTTGCTCAGAGTGATTGTTGGCCACATCGCGTGGTCCTCGATGGTCCGTCGTAAAGCCTCGGCCATCCTGAATGCGCGTTACGCGTTCATTGAGACGGCAAAGGATATGGTGACCCCCCTCTGGCCTCAGGTGGCGTTAGAGCTTCGTAGGATTGTTGCTATTCTCCCTCTCTTCACGACGGATATGTGGGCAGGGTGGCATCCGCAGATCTGTGCCTCGGACGCTTCAGAGTTCGGTCTTGGAGTTTGCCATCGTTCACTTTCTGAAGACCAGGTTGCAGAGATTGGCCGAGTAAGCGAGAGAGTGAGATATCGTGTGGAGGGCGCGGAGAAGGCTCGCCTCAATGCGCTTCGGGAGTCTGGGGACTTCGAGGACTCTCGGGACGTCGTCTACGCGGAGGCTGCCGCCTGCCCGCCGGACTACCTGCCCCTTGGGTTCATGGACTTGGACCCCCTGCTCTTCGAGGAGATCCCCGCGGACCTCATGAGGCCCCAGGATTGGAAGGATGTCTTGGCCGTTCGGGTGGGCTACGACGCCGATATCATGCAGTTAGAGGGTGAGGCCCTCGTGTTGGCCTACAAGCACATTCTGCGCGCTGGTGCTGCCGTGGGGCGGCGAGTGGTTGCCCTCGTCGATAACATGTGCCTGGCGTTGGCTTGCTGCAAGGGCCGAGCGAAATCAGTTCACCTCCAGTCAGTCATGTTGAAGCTGGCCTCGTTGTTATTGGCTTCAGGATGCCGCCTGCACGTTCGCTGGGTCCCCAGTGGGAGGAACCCGTCAGATCGCCTTTTCCCGCGGCAGTCTCGGATGGTTCTCAGGCTTCCGCGCGGCGCGCCGCCTGCCGCCCGAGGGCGATGCCGCGGGCCGCGCCTGGGAGGGCAAATGAGCGGGCCAGGGCACAGCGCGAGACGCGCGTTGCCGCCGCCCAGCGCCTGACCGCGGAGCGGGGGCCTTTGGGGCCCCTCACGGTTCTCGAGCAGATTGCGATCCGCCCAGTGACGGAGGCCCTCTACAAGAAAACTGCGGCGGCCTTCCTGGAGTTTTGCACCGAGCGGGGCCTGGGCTGGCACAACGTCGAGGAGATGGATGTGATCCTAGCCCAATACATGGACGATTGCTTTCACCGCGGCGCGTCGTCCGACCACGGCGCGCAGCTGCTGGCCAGCCTCGCGCATCTCTACCCCAGCTTGCGGGGGCAGTGGAAGTTGCAGTGGCCGAGGGCTGCCCGCGCCTCGATCTCGTGGAAGCGGGGGGTGCCTGCGGGGGCCCGGCTGCCATTGCCGAAGGCGGTTGCCATGGCCGTGTGCCTGCTGCTGGTGGAGGCGGGCGCGCCCTGGATGGCGGTCTTGGTCGCGCTGTCGTTCGTCGCCTACCTGAGGCCCGGCGGGGCGTTCAAGTTGAAGGGCCGCAACCTCATCCCACCCTCGCCTGCGGCGGGGGCACCATATCGACATTGGGGACTACTGCTTCGCGACGTGGGATCGCTGATTCCCGGGAAGACGGGTCTCCACGACGAGAGTGTGTTGATCGACATGGGCCCGTGGTTGGTGCCGGCCCTGGAGTGCCTCCGATCGACGACGAACGCCGACGCCTGCCTGTGGTCGTTCGCGGTCGGGGCCTTGAGGCCGAAGTGCAGCCGCTGCCTCAGCCTCCTGGGCCCCCCCCCAGGTCTCGGACCACTTGTGCTGCCTCCGCCGCGGGGGCGCGTCGGACGACTTGCTCAGTCGCGGAAGGGGCGCGTTCCAGGTGCAGCTTCGAGGCAGGTGGGCATCCGTGAAGAGTTTGAAGCGGTGCGGCAAGGAGACAAAGCTGTTGTCGGAGATCAGCTCGGTGCACGGCGACGTGTTTCGTCTCGGACATCTCATGTTGGAACATTTCTGGACGGTGGTCATGGCAGGCGGGGCCCTGGAGGCCAGCATCAGTCACCTCATCCCAGCGACGTGTGTGCCGGCGTTGCGAGCGGCCCGAAGGCTGCGCCCTTACTCCCTCAGTGCCTCTAAAATTCGAGCCCACCTGCAGTGCCGATTTAAGGGGGAGTTACATAGGGGGAAAGGGTCCCATAATCCGTCTCAGTATCATTTGTTTCTTGAATTGTTTGCCGGGTCTGGATCCCTGTCGAGGGCCCTTCGGGGCCTGGGCGTCTCTGCCCTTGACCTGGATTTTAAGAACTCGGCTGGTGAGGATCACCTGCGCCCTGTTTTCATTCAACTTGTTCGGGGGTGGATCTCTAGTGGATGCGTCTCGGGGGTGTTCTTGGGGACCCCTTGCACGTCCTGGGGCAGGGCCCTCCGTCATCCACTTCGCTCGCGCGACCACCCGATGGGCATCCCCGCCGTTCTACTCTCGCAGGCCGAACAAGGGCGGCTAGCGGCAGGGAATGCCACCTTTACGTTCAGTTGCCGAATAGTTGATTTATGCATCAAGTGCGGTGTTCCAGTATATATCGAGAACCCAGCCCTGTCCCAGCTGTGGTCTGCGCCCCGCGTGCTACAGCTGTGCCAGAAGCCTATGCATCAGTCAGTTGTCTTTCACATGTGTCAATATGGCACCCGATGGATGAAGCCCACTCGTATCTCTGCCTGGCTTTCTCCCTCTCTCCATTCACTCCAGAAGAAATGCAATTGTCGCCGCGGCCTGTGCAGTAGGACCCAGAAGCCACACATTGTCTTGACTGGGGGGGCTCCTGGCGGCAAGAACTGGACCGCCTTAGCAGCCTCGTGTCCGCCGAGATTGGCTCAGTCCGTTGCAAAGTTAATGATCAATGGGTCAATGCGAATCTCTATTCGTCGTTTGTGGGCCCTCGCCTCTGGACTCGATGTCTAGCTGCCTGGCAGGTAGCAGCGTCGTGTGCCTCCCTGATGGTCGGCTTGCCGCTGGTACCGATCCTCTTGGGGGGTACTGACACTGTTGCCTGTTGGTGCGTCTTGGGGGCTCTGGGCGACCACTGTGTTTCGTTTTAAGTTTGACTTTTTGGTTCGGCCTTGGTGGCCCAGTCAGTCCTGCGGGATTTTGGGGATCTCCTATGCTGTCATCTGGCCTGTGATCCCGTGTCTCGCCCTAGGCCTTGGGGCCCGGGATGGATGGCTGATGTCGCCTGCGGTCGGAGTTCTCATAAAATTGTTCGGCATCCATCGTCCGCCTGGTTGTGCTGGTTGATTTTAGATCTGTAAGCACAGGAGGGTCTGGCCGCAAGGCTGCCGCATGTGAGAATTCACAGTCCCGTGTGCTATCCGTGGCACGCGGCTCAAGCTCTCCCTCCCGCCCTCCCTGTCGCTTGCATCCTTTGTGCTGCGCTGTCTGGGGATCTCCTGTGCTGTCATCTGGCATGTGATCCCGTGTCTTGCCCTAGGCCTTGGGGCCCGGGATGGGCGGCTGATGTCGCCTGCGGTCGGAGTTCTCATAAAATTGTATGGCATCCATCGTCCGCCTGGTTGTGCTGTGTATGTGTATGTATATGTATATGTATATGTATATGTATATGTATATGTATATGTATATGTATATGTATATGTATATGTATATGTATATGTATATATCTATATTATTCGTTACATGCAGAGTCGGAGGTCGTATATTACGTTGCATACAGGATCGGATTTCGTATATTGATTTCGCTGGCTTTATTGGACAAAAGCTCACCCGGGCAGGTCGCCCGCCGCAAACAAGATGCACATTTTGTAGGCGCCATGGACATAAACGCGCCCAGGCAGGTCGCCCGCTGCAAATCTTGTACTTATTTGTGCCATGCCATGGCTTCATCTTCGTGGGATGTCGGTTAGCTAACGGAGCGACATATGCAGAACATGATTACATGACTCTTTTCAGTGTCCTCCTCGAACGAATCTGGATAGATGTCAGCAGTATTTTGGGGCTCTTTTTGTCGCGCCCGCAAATCTTGAGATAATGCTTTAGGGCCTGGAGTGCCCTGTGAATGAATCGTTGCGTTGCCCGTCGCTCTGATCAGTTGTCGTCGCAATTTCGATCGCGTGTGCACTTATGAGTTCGCGTTTAGGGATGCCACGCGCCCGCGTACTTCATTGCATGCGACATTTGAACTGGATGTGCGCATTGAGTACATGCCTGCACGCGTGGCTTTGCGTGCTGGGGGAAACGCCTGCGTCGTTGTAAATCAATAGTGCTCTTGCCGCAAAACTGTCATTTCCTTTTTCTCTTGCCCTTCCAACCTGTCGCCTGTGGTGAGGGGGCGTCGTCGAGGCGTGCCGAATTGTTTTGGGGGGCGCTCCTTCGGCCCGCTAAAGGCGGGTAGACTCCCTTGAGTACCCTGTGTGGCGTGGTTGGTCCTTCCTTTCTCTCCTAGCCGAAGCGGGCCTCGTTTGGAGGTCGCAGAGGGTGGAATGGTGTTTTGAGTGGTCCTCGCACCTCTGTTCCCGAGTCCCGCCTCTGCCTCCCGTGGGCCTGAGGTCAACGTGGAGCGGGCGGGATTCGGGGCGGTGTGTGTGTGTGTGTTTGTGTGACGACCGCTCGTCACACCTTGCTATCCATCTATCCTGCTATCCTCTCGGCTCAGGTATTGGACATTTCGAGCGCCCTTGTTCCGATGGGCGCATGGGCACAATAATCGCATTGTTTTCCCCTTTCGTCCTCGACCTAAGGACCCCGCGACAGGTTCGACTCATTGGTCGTTAACTTCCGTCCGCAGTTCAGCTGGTTACTTTTCCTCGTTAAATTGTCGCCACTCGCATCGAACATGTCCCTGGGCCCGCGGAGTGGGGGGGGCCAAAGGAAGCGAAGGGAGTGCGGAGTTCGCGCAAAGCTGCGTTGCGACTGGTGGCTCGTGGCCCATAGCATGGCATTGGTATAGTACAGTCCCACGGCGAATTCAAGCAAAACACGATGCAACATGACTCGTATCCACGCATGACCTCGAAGCAGTATGTGGGGTCCTTCGGTGGCGTAGTCTTGACTTTTGTTTGTATATGCTGGCAGGCACTAGTGGTGCTTGCCGGGCTGAGCTCGCCGCGGCGGGCGATGCTGCTCTTTTCGCAAAGCGGGTCCACAGGTCTGGTACGTGCGCGAAAGCTCGGGGGGAGGCCCTTCCCCTTCCATCCTCTCGTCTCGCCTTCCTTTCTTGGATCCATCCGTGTCTTCCTTCTCTTCCTTCTCGTCCTTGGCGCTCCGCGGACAAGCGCCGTTGACCCGCGTCCTTCTTTTCCTCCTCCTCCTCCTCCTCTTCCCCCTCCTCCTCTTCCTCCTGCGGTGCGCCCTGGCAGCCGCAGGTCTGCTACTTGCGGGAGGGCGGCGGGAAGTACGCGGAACAGCGGCGGGAAAAGTACGTGTTCTTGGTGCGCCACGCACAGAGGCCTCGCAGCGGTTTCGCTCCGCCGTCGCCGTCGCCATTGCCGTCGCCGCCAATCTGATCGCTGCGATTTTTCAGGGCGCTCGTCGGGCGAATCCGTCGGCGCCGTTTCTTTATGTTCTTCCTGTCCTTGCGCAGCCCGCACGGCGCGCGCCGCACCCGTGGCGTTAAGCTTGGCCGACGCGCGCCCCGACCGAAAACTGACCATGCACTAGTCAGTGAACAGGCATTGCGACATTCGGAAAACGCTGATGTGACACGTTGTAAATCACCCACGTGGGCGATCCTACATCGAATGATGCATGGAAGAACATGCGGGCGGAATTCATAGCGGCGATGATGCATTCTCTGTGTTTGCCATGCTGTGGGGTGTGGGGACACATTTTTCTGCTAAGAGAGTTCGTTCCCCTTACGAAGAATTCCGCTTTCCCTTGATGCGTCATCGTTTTTTTAGTTCTTTACGCTTCGCGTATCCCCACCAGCCCATCTCACAACAGCAACTCTTGCGAAGCATGCCGACAGTCGTGTTTTTCAGGCGTGTGTCCGCTTGGCCCCGCATATCTCCCCTGTTCCTCCTTCCTCCCGCCTCCTTGTACATCCTCCTTGTGGGGGGAGCGGGAGAAGGACGAGGCGGAGGAGGAGGGAGAGAAAGCGCTCCTCGTGGTTTGAGTCGTTTGGGGTTTCTCGTCCTGGTGTGAGTCGTTCGGGCCCTTCTTCCTGGTGTGAGTCGTTCGGGCTCTTCGTGGTGTGAGTCGTTCGGGCTCTTCGTCCTGGTGTGAGTCGTTCGGGCTTCTCGTGGTGTGAGTTGTTCGGGCCCCTCGTCCTGGTGTGAGTCGTTCGGGCCCCTCCTCCTGGTGTGACTCGTTCGGGCTCCTCGTGGTGTGAGTCGTTCGGGGCCCTCGTCGTGGTGTGAGTCGTTCGGGCTCCTCGTGGTGTGAGTCGTTCGGGCGCCTCGTCCTGGTGTGAGTCGTTCGGGCCCCTCCTTCTGGTGTGAGTCGTTCGGGCTCTTCGTGGTGTGAGTCGTTCGGGCCCCTCGTCCTGGTGTGAGTCGTTCGGGCTCCTCGTGGCCTTGGAGGCGTTTGGGGCCTTTTGGGGGCCTCTTGGCGGTCCGTAGTAGTATTAGTAGTAGTCGTAGTAGTAGTAGTAGTAGTAGTAGTAGTAGTAGTAGTAGTAGTAGTAGTAGTAGTAGTAGTAGTAGTAGTAGTAGTAGTAGTAGTAGTAGTAGTAGTAGTAGTAGTAGTAGTAGTAGTAGTAGTAGTAGTAGTAGTAGTAGTAGTAGTAGTAGTAGTAGTAGTAGTATAGTAGTAGTAGTACTAGTAGTAGTAGTAGTAGTAGTAGTAGTAGTAGTAGTAGTAGTAGTAGTAGTAGTAGTAGTAGTAGTAGTAGTAGTAGTAGTAGTAGTAGTAGTAGTAGTAGTAGTAGTAGTAGTAGTAGTAGTAGTAGTAGTAGTAGTAGTAGTAGTAGTAGTAGTAGTAGTAGTAGTAGTAGTAGTAGTAGTAGTAGTAGTAGTAGTAGTAGTAGTAGTAGTAGTAGTAGTAGTAGTAGTAGTAGTAGTAGTAGTAGTAGTAGTAGTACAGTAGTAGTAGTAGTAGTAGTAGTAGTAGTAGTAGTAGTAGTAGTAGTAGTAGTAGTAGTAGTAGTAGTAGTAGTAGTAGTAGTAGTAGTGGTATTTCCAGTATCAGCGGTAGTAGCAAACGTAGTCGTCAACGTCGTCGTCGCACTAGTTGTCTCAGTAGCAGAGGCAGTCACTAGAGCAGTGGTCTATATGGAAGTCTAGTAGTAGTAGTAGTAGTAGTAGTAGTAGTAGTAGTAGTAGTAGTAGTAGTAGTAGTAGTAGTAGTAGTCGTAGTAGTAGTAGTAGTAGTAGTAGTAGTAGTAGTAGTAGTAGTAGTAGTAGTAGTAGTAGTAGGTAGTAGTAGGTAGTAGTAGTAGTGGTGGTGGTAGTAGTAGTAGTAGTAGTAGTAGTAGTAGTAGTAGTAGTAGTAGTAGTAGTAGTAGTCGTAGTAGTAGTAGTAGTAGTTCTAGTAGCAGTAGGACTCATAGTAGTACGAGTCAATGTGGTAGTAGTCGTAATAGTAGTTGTAGTTGTAGTAGTACGAGATTCTATAGTCAAACGAGTATGAGTATGAGTAGTAGTAGTAGTAGTAGTAGTAGTAGTAGTAGTAGTAGTAGTAGTAGTAGTAGTAGTAGTAGTAGTAGTAGTAGTAGTAGTAGCATAAGTAGTAGTAATCGTAGGAGAAGAAGTAGTAGTAGATGTCTTTTGCAAGCCGCTCGGCGGCCTCTTGGGGCGTCTTCGGCGCCTCTTGGGGCCTCTTGGGGACCTTTTGGGGGTATCTTGAGGGCCTCTTGGAGGCCTCGTGGTGCCTCCTGGGGACCTCTTGTGGGCCATCTGGGGAACTCTTGGGGCCATCTGGTGGACCTCTGGGGGCCATCTTGGGGGGCTTGTATGAGCGCTGCCCCTCCTCCTGGTGTGACTCGTTCGGGCTCCTCGTGGTGTGAGTCGTTCGAGGCCCGCGTCGTGGTGTGAGTCGTTCGGGCTCCTCGTGGTGTGAGTCGTTCGGGCGCCTCGTCCTGGTGTGAGTCGTTCGGGCCCCTCCTTGTGGTGTGAGTCGTTCGGGCTCTTCGTGGTGTGAGTCGTTCGGGCCCCTCGTCCTGGTGTGAGTCGTTCGGGCTCCTCGTGGGGCCTCTTGGGGGCCTCTTGGAGGCCTCTTGGGGGCCTCTTGGGGGCCTCTTGGGGGCCTCTTGGGGCCTCTTGGGCCTCTTGGGGGGGGCCTCTTGGGGCCTCTTGGGGGCCTCTTGGGGGGCCTCTTGGGGGCCTCTTGGGAGCCTCCTGGGGGCCTCTTGGGGCCATCTTGGGGCCTCTTGCGACCTCCTCAGAAGCGCAAATGAGCGCTGCCCCCTGAGAAGGACAAAATGAGCCCAAAACCTTCGTAACATCAATGATTTTGCTATGAAGGAAGAGGAGCGCTGCCCCCTCAGAAGGGCCAAATGGGGCCAAAACCGTAGTAAAATCAATGATTTTGGCTTCACAGAAGAGGAGAGGTTTTTTTCTCCGTCCCCCCGTCGGGGCCAGAATCCTCGTGAGGGGTGTCGTTTTTTAGCCCTCCCAGGAGTCGAAATTGACCCCTCTGACGACCCGCGAGGCGCCCTCTCCAGGCCCAGGGGGAGGGGGTAGGGCGAGGGGTAAACCCCTCCCCGAAGGGGAAGAAGGGGGGTTGAGAACAGAGAGAGCTCGCTAAACCACTCACGCCCAAAGGGCTGGTGGGATTATAAATGGCAGATCAGACTTGTGTGTATGTGTGTGTACGTTGTTACATGCAACCGTTTCTTGCTTTACGCGGGCGGGTGGGCTTGCGGGTTCAGGATTTCGGGTAGGGGGCAGTATCGCCGTCCAACGGGCGCGTTCGAAGTTGACGGATGGAAGGGCCCCGAAATAAAGTATAAATTTGCGTTCGCCGTCGGCTCCCTCTTGGTAACACCACATAGCTTGTGCTTCATGGTTTGCACCACAGCAGTTCCCAGGCTACAAGCTGATGTTCTTGCGTGGAACAACTAGGATCCAATTGAATGCACCGCGACGCCAACGTCGCAGAATACCAGTGTCCCAGCGTCCCGGCGTGGGTCTCACGTGGGCCACGCGTAGGCCTCACGTGCGTTGTTTTTCAATTTGGGCTTACATCCTCGCAGTTTCAAGATTTTGGAATACATTGGAAACCCTTCCCGTATATGCAAGCTGCTGGGCCTGTGTAATGAGCCTGGCGAAGAAACCAACCATGTGCAGCTGCATGGAAAGGACATATGCGCAACTCGAACGAAGACGAGAGGTCTGAACACGGGAGACTAAGCGCGGCTGTGTCTGAATTCGAATGAGTCTCTGCCTTCTTAGAAGGCCGCCCTTTCGCGATATCTCCTTGTGCGCACCGCCAAACATCGTGCAGCGAGCGTGCAATCTCCGTATCCACCCCGCAGTTGCGGATGAGAGTGAGGAGGCGGGCGCGGGGTGGGTCGCGGGTTGGTCGCGGGTGGGCGGGTCGCGGGGAGGCCGCGGGGGGGTCGCGGGCGAGGACGACGACAACAGCAATCTCTCTTGTGGAACCCCCCTTCAGCCACACACCCCGGGACAGTGAATGACCGTTCGGCCCCTTCACTCTGATGTGTTCCATAATATTTTCGTGTCCGATGACCGAGCGAACTAGTAAGCAGTCTGTGCTTAAAGAGGGCCCCGCTCGGGCAGACGTAGCCATCGGAACGCAGAGTGAGGATACACATCGTGACCCTCATTAGTCAGACCTCCTTCGTACTGATCGTCACGTGAGGGGTATCGGAGACGGCCGCATCTTCACTGGTTATTGTAGTCTTGGTTGTACATTTTCTCAGGACGGGGGGAGAACGAATTAGAGGAGGAGGGTGCCACTGCAAAAGCCAATGTCGATAATGTTTGATTTGCGCGATGTGAATTTTCTCACGGCGTGCAGCCCGAGCCAGTATTGTTTGGGCACTGCCTGAAAGTATAGATATGCGCCAGCGCCAGCGCACTTGAGCAAGGAGGAGAAAGAGGAGGAGAAGGAGGAGGAGGAGGAGGAGGAGGAGGAAAAGGACGGTGACGACGACGACGACGGCGACGACGAATAGGGGCGATGATCGTCGACGGGCGCCGGCGCCGGCTGCGAGCACGTGGAACCAGAATGTGGAGATGGTGAAGACCTTCCGCAACTGCTCCATGGAGGGCATGTCGATGAAGGTGGGGGGCGCACGGCCAGGGGGATGAGTTGGAGGAGGAGGAGCAGGAGGATGAGGAGGAGGATGAGGAGGAGGTGAAGGAGGAGGAGGAGGAGGAGGAGGAGGACGAGGAGGAGGAGGACGAGGAGAGGAGGGGGATCAAGTGAGGGGAGGGAGGGGGATTTCTAAGAGCGGAGGGAAAGGTTCTTGAGCCTTCCAACCCGGCGAGCGCGGCCAGGGCCGCCACCGCCCCACCTACCACCTGCAGCCTACTCCTCCACCTAGCCACCTCTTTCGCACCTCACTTTAATCACCTTCGCCTGCCGCAAACAGCTGTCTCACCCTCTCACCTCCCGCCCTCGCAGCAGGCCTGCAGACGTCGCCGTTTCCTCGCCCCCACGACTCTGACCAACGCGGGCACTTCTACGGTCCGTAGCCATTTTGGCTCAAGCCATTTTGGCTCGAGCGCGCTCGGTTCTTGCAATGGCGACGGGGGGCGGCCTGACAGCGTGGCGGCCTTCGACTCAGCGTCAAGCGGACATCGATTCCATCGGCCCATCAGCGGCTGCGAGGCGGCGGCGGCAGTCGGCGGCGGAGGCTGCTGTGCGCGCTGCCGACGCTGGCGGCTCTCCCAGATCATGGCAGGATCGCGAGCTCGTTTCCCGGCCTGCGCTGCTGCGGCTGGCTAGCGGGCTCCGCATCCCTGGGTCCATGAGGCGGCGCCGCAACACCGCCTGGCATTCCGAGAGGGTGCCTCTCGGGGGTTTCGTTTCGGCTTCTGCCAGCGGCATCGCCTGGGCCGCTGCTGGTCCCATGTTGGGCTGGCGGTCGACGGCCGAACAGCCAGGCAGCAGTGCTTCGGTGCATCCAAATTCTGGGATGTGATGCACGCGCGGGGCTCGTCTTCAGCCCTGCGGGGCTCGTGGGCGACGGCTTCTCGCACGCGGTGACAGGGCGCCCTCAGCAGCTTCTTTCACGACGCATCTCGGGGATAATACGTAGCACCCCGCAGATGCGGATAAGAGTGAGGGGGCGGTGGGAACGTCGGCAGTCTGCGAGACTCTGGAGTAGCCCGCCACAGGCGCCAAAGTTTTACAAATTATGCAACGAGCCCGCCGCAGGCGCTGATTTTTTCTTCAAACCAATGTGGAGCGGTCGCGGGTGGGTCGCGGGTGGGTCGCGGGTGGGTCGCGGGGTGGGTCGCGGGTGGGTCGCGGGGGGGTCGCAGGGGGTCGCGGGTGGGTCGCGGATGGGTCGCGGGTGGGTCGCGGGGTGGGTCGCGGGTGGGTCGCGATTGGGTCGCGGGGTGGGTCGCGGGGTGGGTCGCGGGGGGGACGACGACGCCAACAAACAACAACAATAACAACAACAGCAATATCAGCAGCAACAGCAACAACAGCAACAACAGCAGCAACAACAACAGCAGCAACACCAACACCAACAACATCAACAACAACAGTAACAACACTATTGACAAAAACAATGGTAATGCGACTACTCATACGAACACCAAAACTCTTACTCATATCAATGTATGAATACAGTAACATGATAATAGTAATATTCGCTCATTAATTTTTAAACTACTATAAACACTATTGATAATACACATACGACTACTACTAGTAATATTAATAATATGGGTAACACCACCAACAACAATAACAACAACAATAACAACGACACAACCAACAACAACAGCAACGACAACAACAACAACAACGCAAACATTCTCCTCGAGATCAATCGAAGGAAGACGAGCCGAGGAGGGTCGTCCTCGGTAGGGTCGGCAGCTGGCTGCGTTGCGTCGGCGGCAGCGGGCGCGGCGTCTGCCGGGCGGGGCGACGATCGGTAAGAGGTGGCCGAAGGCGGCCGCCTTTAGCGGCGGCGCCGCCGAGCCTGGGCGATTCGCTCTCCAGAGCTACGCCGCGAGCCGCCGTTCGGAGGCCAAGGGGTGGCCTCTCAAGCTCAAATCGCGCCGCCAGGCGATTGGTGGTCATTACGTTTTTTCTCTGTCTCATCATTAGGCGCGTTTACGTGCGCGTCGCCATCATTGTCATCGGATGCACTGCGTGGGCTCAAGAGACCAAGCTGCGAGGATCTAACCATTCAGTAGCAGTGAAATCGACGCCGGCCCCTGGTTGGCGCCCCTTCTCGTCGCAGGCGCTGGGCGGCGAAGGTGGGGGCTCATCGGGCGGGGGGGGTTTGCGCTCCTAGTTCGTGGCCATCTGCTAGCTTGGAGTGGCAACGATCACGAATCTGTGCAGGGGCATCTCGTGCGTGCGTTTGTCGAGTTCAAGGAACTGGGCGCAGTTGCGGTCGGCGGTGTCAACCTCCGCAACGGAGAGGGCCTCGCGGCCAGAGACACGGCAATCTGGAAAGCTGCTGGGGCGGATCGGACGACGCCCAGGTGTCGATCCGTGGTGGTGTGAATGCGACGCGTCAAGGTCCGGGGTGAATTCGAGCAGCCCCCGTCTCAGCGCATGATTGGGCCATCGGGGGCCCCCCTTCAAATGGCAGTGCAATTCGTGAACTTAATTTTGTTAGTGCCCTGGCCCGCCGCTCGCTTGCTCTCTCCCTCTGTCTCTCCGTCCGTCTGTCTGTCTGTCTGTCTGTCTGTCTGTCTGTCTGTCTGTCTTTTCCCCGCCCTTCTTCTTCCGCGGCCCCCTGGCTTCGAGCAGGCGGTTGCGCCTCTTTGTTCGGAGGGGCCCTTCTCGTCCCCTGAACCCTATCATGGCCGCGCTCGTCGCATGTGTCCTGATTCCCAGCCTGGCGTCCCTCGCCGCCCTTGGCGGGCTAGGGTTCCCCGCAGTAGATGCCCCTGGAGAGGGAGAGGGGGCTTTGGGGGAGAGAGACAGGGAGGGAATGCAGGAAGTGGAATGCATGTTCGAGCCCCCCTCCCTGGACCCTGCAGGCTGGGGGAGGGACCAGGCCTTCTCGACCCCGAGGGGGAGGATTGGGAGTTGGAGTGGGGAAGGCGTGCCAGGTTCCCCGCGGTCCCTCCGCCTGCCGCTGGCGCGGGTGGCGGGCGGGGCGGCGGGTGTCGTCGCGGGGCTGCTTTGCTCCTCGGCGACGGGCCACCCCAGACGCTGATTTGGAGTTGGAGTGGGGAAGGCGTGCCAGGTTTCCTTCGGCCCCTCGGTCAGCAGCCCGCGCGGGTGGCGGGCGGGGCGGCGGGTGCCGCCGCGGGAGCCGCATTGCTCCTCGGCGACGGGCCGCCCTGGACGCCGGACCGAGGCTTCGACTTGAGGGAGGGGTGCCGCGAAGGGGGCCCCCCTGGCAGATCGTTGATGAGCAGCAGAGGCCCCCTTCAGGGCCCGGGGGAGAGGGGTGTCAGTGGAGCGTGCTTTTCCACGGATCTCAGCCTTTCGCTTCGAGATGTCTTCACAATCTGAGAGGTCTCTGATCCTATGTCCACGGTCGTGTCCTAAATACGAGTCCAGGATACTCTCAGGGTCGGCGGAGGGCACGTAGTGGCGGAAGATTGGCAGGACGTCGAGATAAGATACATATACTCCGTTTAAATAATCGATCCAGGATATTGCGTCTGGTCCCCCTGAGCTTCGGACCGAGGTGAACTACTGTAAAATCACCACACAGGCTAGCAAAAGGCTCGTGCCAAAGTTGCTATGGACGGAACAGGTGATTGGGCTCTTTCACTGAGGGTTGTCATCCCTCTCTGTTCTTCTAGACCTGTTTCACTGTCCTCACACTGAAACTGACATGCCCCGAACCGTCAGTGAGAGTCCTCAGTCTCTAGCTCAGGTAAGACACTCCATGTGTAGTCCATCCTTATTGAGGCGTCGCGTCTTCCATCATCAGACGTCGTGCCTCTGGATGTCGGTAGTCTGCCACGATCTCCGACTCCGTCTCGATCTCCAAGTCATCCGGATATAGTTGCCACGCATCATCTTCATCCACTGCGAAGAACGTCTCCTGGTCGACGGTGTCCATGCCTTTCTTCTTTCTGGCCTTCTCCGAGATGAAGTTCGCGTCGTAGATCAGCTTCCAGCTTCCTCTTTGCTTCCACAGGTTGTAGCTCGCCCTCGCCTTCTCGGAGTTCTTCGTCACACAGTCGCTTAGCTGCGCGCCACTGTGACACCACCGCAACGAAGTAGCTGTCGCCGCCATGCCTCTCTTCAGAGCAAAGGCTTCCAGTGCACTCTTTTTGTCCTTCATGCCCATCGCGCTGCTCTCCGACTTGTCCAACGCATCGAACACGCCATGGCAGTCCAGTACTAGGGCTCCTGGAATCTTCGCACATCCGGCCGCCCACTGCTTCAGAGGTGTCGGTCCCAGTAGGATTTCGCTCAGGACCAGTCTGCAGAATTCCAGCTCCTCCTGCGCCTCGCTTGCCGCATGTACTTCTGCCGCGCTTGAACTCCGGCACACTCTAAGCAACTTTGCGGACGCCCACGCTATTAGTGAAATCGGCGCTTCCTTATCCTGCATCAGGCTGTAATCCGTCATGAAGATCAGGAAACCTCCCTGTGACGATCCATCTCGTCGAACATTCCAGGCAGCATCCGAATACCCCACGATACACGGGTTGAGATGCTCTTCCATGATCAGATCTTTCTGGACCTCCATCTTCGCTCTCCAAATCAGTTTGTTGGCCTGCAAGAGCGTGTTGATGGTGGCCGTGTTCGTGCACGCGGGTAGCATGGACAGTTCTGCACATATCAGAGGTACTCCCTGAGCCGCCAACCACATCAGTTGCCCTAGGACTGCTCGAAGTTGAGTGGCCTCGCTCGACGTAACCGCTGGCTCGATGTCCTCGCGACGCTGCGTCGGTATGTCGATCTCCTTCAGCTCCTGCGCGTAGTCGACCATGTTGAGATGAATGCGTCCCCAAGTTCTTGTGCGACCGTCATACTCCTGTCTGATCCTCGTTCCACACTGCGCAAAATCTTGAGTCTCCCAGCTGCCCCGCTCGTAGGCTTGATGAAGTCGTTGAAATGCGTCGGTGGCAAACTTAGATGTGTTGTCGATCGCAATCATGAAGTCGTCCACGTGAGCTAC